AATAAAAATCATTTCTTTTTATTTTTTTTTTAAAAATTTGTAAAAGGTGGTACCGACAGTGAACGCAACGACACTACCTGGCTATTCATGCAGCTGCCAACTAGTCAACGTTGCAGCTGCCAGCTGCCCTTATATAATGGCTTAATTGCAGAGAAGTCCTCGCAAGTCTACTGTAAAGAAGGTAATCATTTCTTGCTTGCAGCATCAAAGTTTTAAGACAAGAATAGAGAGAAAAACAACATTGAAATCTTGTATATTTTTAGGTGTTTTTCCTTAAAGAAAGATGGAGAGAGATAGAGTCATTTATAATTTGGGCTCCTCTATGATGAAATATCTTTACCATCTTACTTGTGGAAGTTCAACCATGTAAATCTTTGTGTTGCTTTGTGTGCATGACCCTTTCTTTCCATTGTCCATTTCTTCGTAGTCTGCTACCTGTTTACTTGTTGTGACTCAACACGATCCAATGTCAAGCTGCATAACACCAATCAAACACGCAGAAAAAAAAATGCATGTTGCCGTCTTTGCATTCCCTTTTGGTTCTCATGCTCTCTCTCTCATTGATCTGGTGCTGAAGTTAGCGAGGGCTGCCCAGGAAACGAGATTTTCCTTTCTTAACACCGAAAAATCCAACAACTCGATCTTCTTAGCATCAAGAACCAACCTACCTGATAACATCAAAGCCTACAATGTAGCGGATGGCGTGCCGCTGAATCATGTTTTCTCTGGAGATCCAAAAGAAAGAGTCGAGCTATTCATAAAGGAAACGCCGGAGAATTTTCAGACGGCAATGGACATGGCAGTGGCGGAAACTGGCCAAAAAATAAGTTGCTTGCTAACAGATGCGTTCTTGTCCTTTGCTGGATCAATCGCTGAGAACTTGAGCATTCCTTGGATTCCTGTTTGGACCCCAGTGCCTCATTCCCTCTCTGCACATATTTATACCGATATGATTCGCCAACGCTACGCCAATTCTCTTATTCATGATGGCAGCAATAGTGGCAGAGATGGCAGCGATGTAGAGCTTGAAGACCAAACTTTGGAAGTTCCAGGATTATCTGAATTTCGCGTTGCAGATCTGCCTGCTGAAGTGTTACCAAGAGATGCACAAGAAACACTCTTTTCTTGCATGTTAGGTCAAATTAGACACATGTTGCCAAAAGTAGATACTCTAGTTCTGAACTTTTACCAAGAGCTCTACTCTGAACCCCTCTTAAATGATCTCAAATCCAAGTTTTCGAACTTGCTTAACGTCGGCTTTATTAGCCTATCCATGCCACCACCATCGTTGCCACCTTCAACTGAAGATGCTACAGGTTGTCTATCATGGTTGGATAGTCAAAAGGCTAAGTCTGTGGGGTTTATCAGCTTTGGAACTGTAGTGAATATCCCTCATAGTGAGATAGAAGAGCTAGCAGAGGCTCTAGAAGTTTGTAGAATTCCATTCCTTTGGTCTCTTAGGGACAACATGAGAGATTGCTTGCCGAATGGGTTCCTAGACAGGACTATCACGCATGGAAAGGTGGTTCCATGGGCACCTCAGATTCAAGTATTGGGACATAGCTCAATTGGTGTGCACATGACACATTGTGGAGCTAATTCTGTGTATGAGAGTATTGCAAATGGGGTTCCAATGATCTGTAGACCATTCTTTGCGGATAATAAGTTGAATGCAAGATTAATAGCGGACGATTGGAGAGTTGGTGTGAGAATTGACGGGGGTGTTTTCACAAAGACTGGAGTTGCCAAGAGCTTGGACCTCATCTTGGAACGTGAACAAGGGAGAACAATTCGGAGCAGAGTCCAAGCCCTTAAAGAGCTTGTATTGAAGGCATCTGCACCTGGTGGCCGTGCTACACAAGATTTCAAGACTTTGGTGGAAAAGATCACATCGGTGTAACGCATCTTGTATGGTAAATTTGAAAACATTAACGTGGAAGGCATTTGAGAGTGTTAAATGTAATTTGTAATGTTCAATATCTTCTATTATTAGCTTTTATTGTTCTTGTTCTGTTGGTCTTCTTTAGATTCTAGAAGTCTAGGTGTTGCCCTTGTTATGTAATCTTTTCCTCTTCTTTGTATTCTGTAAGTGAATAATAAGATTGCTTCTGGTATTGAGCTGCAGCTTTATGATTTATCCTTCAAATCCACTTTCTTCTTTGTTTTCGCTTCTATTTCCAACAAATTTGGTATCAAAGCATTTGGTTTCTTTTATGGCTTCTTTTTCTAGTATTTCTATCTTCTCCTATACAACTACGCAGATTCCCATCTTTAATGGAGAACATAACGAATACCGAAGTTCTCATATGGAGACTACTTCATTTCAAAAGATGAAGATTTATGGATATTAGTAGATGAGGGGTTTGCAGAACTATCCCAGGAAGAATTTTTTACTTTCTGGCCAGAAGAAGACACAAAGGACTACAAGCAGAATGTGCACAGGAATGCAACTGCCTTGAGAATAATATAATAGGGAGTAAGCAAATCCATTTATCCTAGGATCTTCTCTATTAAGAAGGCAAGATAAGCATAAGAGATTGAAAAATGAATTCTAGGGCTCTTAGAAAGCCAAAGCCATTTGACTGCAAAATTATAAAGAAAATTTGAAAATCTTACAATAAAGGATAGTAAGTTGGTTAAAGACTTCTCTTCTAAAACTACTAAAATTATTAATCAAATCAAAAGTTGTGTAGAAGATATTTTTGATAAAAGAGGTGTAGAGAAGATTCTCATAAGTTTATCATAAAAATTTGAACATATAGTTATTGTTATTGAAGAAACAAAAGATTTGTCAACACTTTCAATTCATGAATTAATGGGATCTCTTAAAGTGCATGAACAAAGAATGAACTAGTATAACAAGTCACCAATGGAACATGCTTTTCAGATCAAAGCCAATTTTTCTGACAGGAGGGGAGCAAGTTTTCATCATTATTAGAGGGGAGGAAGAATATTTTTCAAAAGAGACTCATATGGAAGAGCATGTGAAAGTCAAAATCGTAACAAAAGCAAAAGTAAGAGCAGAGGAAAAGGAAGTGTGAATTTTCAACCAAGAGTAGACAACAATTCTTATTGCTCTATTTGCAAGAGAACTAGTCATGAAACTCGGGATTGTTTTTTCAAGTGTACTACATGTAAAAATTCCACTCATTTTGTTAGAAACTACTAGCACAAAGAAAAAAAAATGGTTATGGAGAGAACAATATGATAAATTTTTCAAAGGAAGAAGATCGACTGTTCTATTTCTACATGAATGCAAAACATAAAGAAAATGAAATCTGGTATCTTGATAGTGGTTTTAGTCATCATATTATTGTTGATCGCTCATGTTTTGAAGTTCTTAATGAATAGTTTTTTTTCTCGTGTTGAACTTGACGACAATAAAAGAGTGGAAATCAAAGGAATAAGTAATGTTGCAATCCACTCAAATAAAGGTAATAAAAAATATATTCATGATGTGTTTTACTCTTATAACACTGGTCATAATCTATTAAGTGGGGGACAAATGATGAGAAGAGGCTATAAACTGATTTTTGATGATGCTTAGTGTGAGATTTCTTATAAGAACACAAATAAAAAAGTAGTAGTGGTCAAGATGAGTTCTAACAATATATTTCCTTTTAATATGAAATCACTCCATAATATTGCTATAAGAAGTGAGCATCTTAATGATTCTTAACTTTGGCATTTAAGATACAAGTGTTTAAATTACAATGACTTGCAGCTACTAAAAAAGAAAAATATAGTTTCTGGCTTGCCTTCAATCCAGAACCAAATTAGGATTTGTGAAGATGTGTGTATTGAAAAATGCATTATTTTCCCTTCCCAAAGACTGTCTGGAGAGCCAAAGCACAGCTTGAACTAGTTCATGCAGATATTTATGGCCTTACGCGAACTTCATCTTTGAATAATTAAAGATATTTCTTACTCCTTGTTGATAATTATTCTGAAAATTCAGATTTACTTTTTTTAATAACAAATCATATGTTTTCCCTGTTTTTCTATAATTCAAAGCTCTTGCAAAAAAGCAAAGTGGATTCCAAATGAGACTTTAAGAACAGACCGTGGAAGAGAGTTTATTTATAAGCCTTTTCTTAATTGCTGCAAAGAGAATGACATTCAAAGGAAACTTACAGTCAAGCATACACCTCAACATAATAGAGTTGTAGAAAGGAAGATTAGAACTATTGAAGAAATGGCAAAAAGCATGCTAAAAGGGAAAGGACTTCCTAATAAATTTTAGGCAGAAGCTGTCAATACTACAACATACATTCTCAATTGATCTCTAATAAAGATAGTCAGAAATCAAACTCTATTTCAAGCATGACACAAAAGAAACCTGATGTCATCCATCTTAAAGTTTTTGGGAGCATTGCTTATGCTCTTGTTCCTTCTTAAAGCATAGACACGTTTGATGAGAAAAGGGGAGAAGCTTATCTTTATTAGCTATAATGATGAATCAAAGAGGTTTTTGACTTTTCGATCCTAAAAAGGATCAGTTATTGCTATCCAGAGATGTTATTTTTTTATGACTGTACTGCTTGGAAATGGAAAGATTCTATCAATCCTGAAACAAAAATTCTAGACTTACTTCAAGCTCATTTCCAATTCTCAAATCAGAATTGGTTCAATTTCATATAATGGAGGAGGCTTATTAAATTTTGTTGATGAATCAGTCTTAGAAACTCTTTCTAAGAGAGTTCATTCATTAATTGACATATAGAACTCTTGTCATGTTGCCTTTTTTTTCAGGTGAACCTTATAATTTTAAAGAAGTAGTAAGAAAAAAAAAATGAAGAAAAGTTGTGAATGAAAAGATGACAAGTATAAAAAAGAATCAGACATGGAAGCTGGTTGATCTGCCAAAAAAGAAGAAAATAATAGGATTAAAATGGGTATTCAATATTAAACACAATGAAGATAACAACATTCAGAAGCATAAGGCTAGAATTGTTACTAAAGGCTATTTTCAATAGCCTAGAATTGATTTTACATAAACCTTTGCACTTGTTACAAGAATATAAACTATTAGAATTATTCTTACTTTATCTATACAACTTCAATTGCAGGTGTTTCAACTTGATATTAAGTCAGTGTTTTTTAATGACGAATTAAAAGAAGAAGAAGATAAAGTGATGCAAATCTCGTGATCACGTAGTCACATAACCCACACACAGAGACATCAATTCCTAGAAAGCCAAGTAAATCAAGTTTGATAGGAGTGTGATACAAAGATAACTTGTATCTAGGCACCAGTACTATTAAAAATAGAGACCCCTACCTAACGAATATTGATTCATGGACGAGAAGTATAAGGATGATGCCACGAAGACAGTTGTTCTTCGATAAGTCATTTTTTAGTTCTTTAGAGAACCATGAAAGGGAGATTATCTCACTAACACACACACAAAAAAAGTACAGCAAACAAGAAGTTTTATTAATCTGAATTGTCTAACCTTACATGTGTGGTTATGCCTCTATTTATACTGACTTTAGACTTAAAAAAACCCTAATGGACCCCTCTTAGGTGGACTTATTTGAAGTGCACTTACAATTAATCCAAATAAGTAATAATAACCCAAAGACTAAGAAGAAAATAATAAAAATAATAAAAATCCAAAAATTATCATCCTAAATATGTTAGAATCAGATTTGTCACCATTAAGAAGTTCCAAATAGACTATAAATCTAAGCTGAAGGTAGAATTTATTCTGAAGTTT